CCCTGCCACGTACACACACCGTACACCCGGCCACAAGTGGCGCCACTAACGATCTACGCGAGATCGCCTGCTCGAATAAACTAACGATAACTTATTCGAAACGGTCAGCTAATTATCATTCAGTTAATTGCTCGAGCTAATTTGAAACAAAAGGCAAGAGAAAGAGAAAGAGAGAGTGGTGGGGATAGACACGTGCAAATGAAATCGATTTACTGAAAATATTCATCGACAGAGTTATGAAAATGTTTCTGTAGCGAAAGTGCCTTTTAACCATGGAGGTTATGGTTGTAAAGCTCGTCAAAAATGCTAGGAATTTTTTTCCATTAGGGACAATTTAATGATGTCGATTATGGTTCATTACGGTGGACGTGTATTTTTTGGACGATAGGATTACCGGGGTTAAAAAAATTCGACGCCAGAGAAACGAAATTAAACCGGACGATTTATGCACGATAAGGGGCGGAGGCAAAAACGAGAACGCACTGGCGAATTGTTGTTATTTGAAATTACGAAGGTAACGCGGCGTTTTTTTATTTTACCGTGAAATCGTGGACGATGCACGCCGATTGGAATATAATGATAAATATAATTGAAAATGTAACGCGTGTAATGATACGGTTTTTAGTTTGTTCGACGTAAAATGTTTCTGTACGCGTTAACGTGTCAACAGTAAAAACGTTTGAAACGCTCGCGTGCAGTGGTAAATATTGGCGTACGATTGCATGTACTGCAAAACCGATAAAAATAAAAACACGTTATAAACGTAGTAAGAGATACGCGATGTGTCATCGTAAGGCGTGCTTTGCGGTGTACGGTAACTGAGATAAAAAGTCTAATGAAAAAAGTTGTCGTATATAAGCTATATAGATAAAAAGTATGTATTAAAGAGTACATACCCAGAGCGGTGGAAGAGATACGCAATTCTACGATGGTTATCTTTGGACAGTAGTTCCATTAGGCATATAAACTTGTAACTTCTAACACAAAAAAACTTGAAACAATAAAGATTACACGTTGTTGTCGAACATTTAACAAACAATATCACTGTTATTACGTTGTTAAAACACTATTGTGAAAAAATTACGTTCGTTACTGCGCCATTACAACTCCCGCCATTTCGCTACTAATCATTTCGATTATTGACTCAAATATATCGATTAGAATTCGATTAATTTTCTGAATTTTCGAGATATACGGTATATTACTATTGTATATATTAATTTCGTTGTATTTAAAATAAGGATAGTGCTTTTTTCATTTCAAATATTCAGTAAAGATAGAAGAAAATGACAAATAATCGAATAATATTAAATACGATAAAGAAAATTGAATCTAGGGAATTTTTAGGCCGCTTCACATTAATGCATCGGCGTGATTTCCGCTTTTGGCCATCTTGGATGTTTTAGTTCGTAATACAAACACGTAAGATAGTGAAGCGCTTGTGGTCAATTCAATCGCGCAGACTCCGGAAAAATAATAAACAAAAGGAGCGATGGATCTTTTCCACCAAAGCTGCCCGATAATGTGTCGTATCGTGTCCTTGCTTGTTTGAGTGTTTATACGCGTGAAACAGCACCGCGGGGTGAGTTTACGTAACAGAAGACTGTATATCGTCCGTGTAACATATTGCGTCATACAAATAACCCTTCTGCTTATATTTATTGGAGCATTTGGTGTGTAAACTTAGAGAATTTTGAGGTTATATTGACAATCTATGATGGTCGAGCAACGAGAGGGCTCTAATGCATCGGGGATATCGTAAAAATTATTCGATTTCTGTATTCATGTACTTCTACGAAATTCATAGACAGTGTATCTGACTTTAAAAATTTCCCTCCTGTTGCTCCACAAGTTTAAATATCTATTAAAAGCATGTTAGCATGTAATTTGACGCATTTGCTCCGCCACATTTGTTACTACGAATTTTCAGCCGCCCCTTCTACTACTCCTATTTACAGTCGTATCGTAACGCTTACGTGACACAATTACTGATATTCTTTAACTGATAATTTTCTTGTTCTTTTTCATTAAACTTAATAATATCCCGCCTAACATTTTTTTTCTCGAAAAGCAGAATATCGCCATTCACAATAATGTAACAAATAATTGTAAAGATTTTAAATATTAACAAATAAACCACACTGCTAACATTAAATAATATTCAGTTATAATTTATTTATTAATTTAAGAATAAGTTTTGTTATGTAATTTATTTATGTACACAAGTTTTTTATTCAAATGTATATACAATAAAACATTATTTTCGTTTATTTAGAATAAATTTATTTTCAGTTACAAAATGACAGAAGGTGGCGCAACTAGAATGAAGCGCAATGGCGCTCGTCTATTCAAAAACCCTCCTCAACCTCATATGTGTATACAAGACTTCATACAGGTATACTCACTTAAAAAGGACTGCCTGTTTCTAACATTTCATCTGCTCCTCTTAGAATGTGCAATATCTCAAAATGTCATATTGATTTTTAATAACCCCTTTATATGGAAAGTCTTAAGTAATTTTCTATCACATATTACTGTAATTTAAGTTACAGTTAAACCTTGGTTGTTTTATTACTTTAGGGCACTGCTGTCCCATGCTATGTAAACGTTTTATCTTGGGAAAAAATTACAATGCCACTGAAGCCTTCTCAGCCTGTACCATTTTATGGGGGAATGAGGGTTCGACCACCACGTACAAAAGCAGAAGCTGTAGTATTTGCAGTAATGGCTAATCCAGAAATTCTTCGAATTAATGGGAAAAACGCGCAAGATCCAAAGGTACTTATAGTACACAATTGTTATACTTGAACCCATTTATGAAGAACAATTTCCTGCACGGCTCTATTTTTGCTACAGAAGCGTTCCAGCTTAATAGAACTTTTACTAGACTTTGTGGAAAGGATGAACGCAGGAGTAGTTTTCACGCGACAGTATACGATACTGAAAGATCGAGATATTACTGGCGAATTGAAAGAGGTTTGGAATGCAGTACAAGCGAGGCGAGATTTGGAGCAACCTCCGCCGCAGATGGAAACTTGGATCGACGCGCAGCCTCCTGTTCCTCAATATCCTCAGTACCAAGATCATCAGCAGCAAGATTACACATCTCAACCACCACAATATCATCCGAGTGTAGGATATGGTAGGGCGATAAGTAACGAAGGTATACATTACGAAAGCTACGGTCATCAACCTCAGAATCCAGTAATCACACAAAATGATCAGATGTACCAATCCGGACAATTAGTGCCGCAACAATATCATGGAAACGTTCCTCGAGTTTCATCGATCACCTCTAGAGAACACAGGGATAGTATGGTACAGAATATCCCGCAACAAAACTGCCCTGCATATCCAGCTCCACAATATCAATTTCAACAGTTACCTAGACAAATGGTACCTCAGTATGTAAATTCGAATGTTCATCCGAACGCCAGTCTTAATTATGGTCCAACCTCAAACGCAAACGTGAATCCAGCTATGAATACAAATTTAGGTGCACCTTTTCAACCGTTTTTAACTTACCAGCAAGGTATGGATAACGCGATGCACATCGATATGCTCAGAATGCAACCGCAACAACAACAACTTCATATGAATCAAGTGCAGCCGGTTCCCCGGTATGAACCAACGACACCGTATAATCTTCAAGCACCGATAAACGTTCTCAGATTAGGCAGACCGCACATGGGCGTTGCTCAAAAGAACAACGCGAGCAAAAGACAAGTGAATTCTCCAACTCATTCCAAACAATCCTCTTGTACAAATTGTCAGAATAAAGACACATCCGACAATAGCACAAAACCTAAGAGTCCTGTTAAAGTCTTGCAACGGGAGTTACCATTAAATGATCGACAAGATATGCATAATCATATACCCATTGATAATAATAAATTAATCTCTGAAAAAGGTCCCATTGATGAGACGAAGAACGTGCAAGTGACGGACTTGGATGAAGAAGTTAAGAAAAATAACGACTCTGATGGCGACGCACTTGAGCTGTTTAGAAAACCAAACGATACTCATACTTCAGATTCTACGTTGACGAATGCAGGACGAGATGCGACAAGCTCTGTCGAGGACGTGCCTCTTTCCGAAGAGAAACAACAAGAAGTAAAAAACACGGATATAACGAATGGTCAAAATTCGTCCGAACAAAAACATCCAAAGTCGAAAGCTATTGTGATGAAAGGAAACAAGCACAAAGATAATATGGAAAACAATAGAATGATACGTATTAGATTTGTGTCCGATCAAAAGAATGACAGTCCGAAACGTTCTCAGACAACGATGAATAGCTTTATCAAGAATGTCTTCAAGATTCATCCTGGCATGTCTGGCGAAGAGACGTCAGGTAAACGAAAAAGCAACGGACAAGCTAAGAATAACGCCAAGATGAACGGTGAGAACGAAGAAACGCAACAGGGGTACACGATATTAAAGAAAACCGACTCAACGACTCAGGAAGAGATAGCGAGCGAGTTAGCTCAACTATCCATTCAAGACTGCAAAGACGCGACCGAAGTTAGTCCCGTGCTCTCGTGATAGCCTAGTTCATAGCTGGTACATAATAGTACCAGCTCGTAGCTGAGGAGCAGTGATTTCAATGTAAATAGATAGAACATTAATCAATAAAAAGGAAAAGTCAGAATGAAAACAGACGCTAAAGAGGGGGACACGAATCCACAATACATATGAACACAATTGTACCAACATATTAGGACGTGCTTTTGCTGACCGCCGTTTATTTTTTTGACGAATCCACTCGTCTTCCTTCGCATAATTTTGTCAAGACGGATCGTAGTGAGAAGTTCTTCGAACATGATAGCTGGATATTTTGAACTCAATAGGAATAGTAAAGTCTATTTTCCTTGGATGTTCACATACGAAGGATACAAAAAAACGAAAGATTTTTTTTTTTAAAGAAATCTCACCAAGATCAATTAAAAAGTGGAGCTTTCAGTAGAGTGATCCTCATTAAATGTTGAATAAGTTAAAAGAGTGTTCATCGTACAAGTTCAGATGGCAACAAGAAGTACATGATCGTACATATTCCAAGATCCGTCAAACAATTTTGCTTCCAGTTGATAATCTTCGAGTGAAAAAAAGAATACTGATAATAATCGCATAAAATAGTGATACGCCATTTCAGTGAGACTACGGGACGTTAACAGCGTTCCTGTGCTGAATGCACAAAAACGAATTGCAACGTTCGGTTTTGGATATGACTAGATACACGTCCGGAATGGTACAGTTTCGAATCAATTATCGAGCAGGAAAAAAACCGATTAACATGTCTGGTATTTGAGTAACATATGTAATTTAACATAAAAGTATTGAGTCGTTCCCATAAGTTAGACCGAAAAAAAAAAAAGTTTCACGATGGAGTAACGGCTGGTTATCGCGTACTTACCTTCGAACCAAGCAATTAGTGGAATTACTATCAGAATGATACCGGGTGGTACAAATACACGTTGCATACTATATCGTGGATCATAGTATATGGTAGATTATTAAGAGTAGCTTCTAAGTAATTGATCTCGAACTCTTATCTACGCGTTAGTGCTTCCATACGAGGATTTTTTCGCCTCCGTTATTTTTTATACTCGTACAAGATCTCACGCGTAGAAGGTGACTTCGAATATTGTGTTGTAAAACTTTAGAAAGGAAAACGAAAATATTTGTCCACTCGGTATATTGTTTGATTGTGTCGCTGCATTCTAATATATGCCATAGTTTATTAGTTGAGAAAGAAAACACAGAGCTGCCAAACCTCGTTGAATCAGATAAAAATAATATCTGGAAAAATATTACACGGATGATTTATTGATCGACCAGCTTTTTCTCGTTGACTCGTGTGCGTGCTATTCTGTCGCGACTTTCAGCTTGCCTAAGAGGCTTTCGATGATCCATAAGAAAAAGAGAAAACAGACAGAGACAAAAAACAGTGGTAACGATTCATCTTGTCAATGGTCTACATCAATAGAGATTGGACGGTCAATTAATCGTTTGAATACCACGCAGCGCGATCACATTGCTCGTATTCTATGTCGAAAAATGCCGCCACATGGACCATTAAGTGTAAATTTCACCATAGAGTGTCATCGGCCTTACTGAAATTTCTGTGGTCGTAAGCGTTACAGAAACATTTTTTTTTTTAATAAAAAAATCGTATTCAGTAAAAATGTTCAAAACAAAATTTTCGGCATTTTTCGACATCCAATGAAAAAAGGCGCGATTGCGTTGTTCGACATTTTTCGGTTAGATTTCTGCTAATAATCCGTGGCACATGAACGGTTAATATACTTGGCTTCATTCACGACGTGCACGAATCATATCGGTGCATTAGTTCAGTATCGAATTACCTACGAGGCCTCTGTAAATTCGACGTGCCGTTTTGCATTCTAAACATAAAGCATCGCTGCCACGCGAAACGACATCGTCTACTATCAATTTATTTAGTGTTATTGGACCAGTGTCGTGCCGTGCGTTCTCGCGACGCGAATTGCATGCTTTGATATTTTAATGGTGTATACCCACATGATTCGTTTACAGTCAATACGATTAAAAATTTTTAAAAAGAACCAAAAAAAAAAGAAAAGAAAAGAAACTGAGAAAAAGAAACGAACAATACTAGCAACGTCAGCGTGATCTGTCCATACAACTGAGCCAATTAACCTCAACACCCGTTATTCTCCCGATTTTTCTTTTTTTTTTTTTTCCCTCCCCCTGAAACACTAGACACAGACTGTATTTTTTGTTTAGTATATTCGAGGTGCTTCGTTAGTAAGACTAAGATCTCAGCTCGTGAACAATGAGTTTAATTAATCGATAATCATGGCATCGCTGGAAAAGGACCAATCCGCAAGACCAGGGTGCAATTAATCATTTCCAGATGTCTGGAAACAAGGTACAATTCCTCAAAACGAGCTGGTTCTCGAGTGGAAAAATATGTGCTCGACCTTTCGTTTATTATTATTTTTTTTTCTTCGTTCTTCCTCGCTCTTCCATCGTCTTTGGCTTGTGTGAACAGAGACAAGAAATGCAAAAAAAAAAAGAAAGAAAGAAACAGTGATTTCTTTCGTAAAAATTATCGCGTGCTAACGAACGAATATTGAGACGTTTTCACGTGCGTGGGACACACGCATATATATTATAGGCATATATACACACACATACACACAGGTATATACATACATAAATCATACACGAAGGCTTTTTTCTTGTTTTATACGACAGCACGTAATAAAACGAAACGTTTACGGGTTTCTTCATGTTTAATCAGAGAACGCGAGCAAATTTATCTATTTTATTATTTTTCAAAAGATACGTAAAGAAGAAATTTACATTTTATATAAATCAGCGCCGTGAATGCGTTGTTTTTTTTAAAGGATTCGTAAATTGCTCTACGGCAATTTACCGTAATTACTTTAGCAGTAAGTCTTAAATGCAGTCAACTGTCATTCCTCTCATTGTATTTCGTTTTATTTATCGCTTTTTTTTTCTTTTTTTTTTTCTATCTCTCTTGTTCTATCGATTCAGAGACATCGTGAATTTATTTTGTTTTGCATACGATAAGAGGAGCGGATCTCAATGTGACTGAAATCGTTTCGCGTCGGGCTGTTTAGTCAATTTCTTTTTTAAAATGCTCAAACGACGAAACGCGTCGAAAATTTTAGGTTATATCGATCCGGAGATCTTATTAATTTTATCGAATTTAAATATTTACTTGCTCCCCTCCACCTCCTCCTCCTCCTCCCACCAACTTTACTTTTTTTTCTTTTTATTTTGAATGCAGTTCTATGCGGCTTGGCCCCTTCCCTCGCCAAACATCCCCAAAGTCCCTCCTCTCATTAGTGTTAATAATATGTATTCAGTATTCGTGTTATTTTAGATTCTTATTAATACTGTCAGGTATATTCTGGTTTATTATATCATTATTACCACGAACAATGTAATCTATTATTATTCTATAATACATGGTTTTTCCAAAGCTTGTGTGCTGGTTTTTTTATTTATCTGCAACCACAATGTATTTTCGTAGATAATAAATAAGTGTTTTAGATCGTAGTGGCATTTTTTCAGCGAAGCATTTTAGAAAACACGAGGCTGGCTGGCTGAACGATTGTCATGACTGACACATTGCACATGCAACTTACTTCATGCCCTCACCAACTTTCCATTGCTTAATATTGAACTTACATCTACGTACATTGTTTATCCTTACATTTTAATCGATAATCAAGTGTACTCTTAATTAGAATGAACAAGAAGCTTCGTTCGCGAAATACAGGAACCTGTCCAGAATGTGTTAGTACTGCTCTCGTCACGTTATTATTCCGAACTAATTCAACAATTTCGTTTATTCGATAAAAGATTTATTTGACAATCGTTTTACAATACACACGTATAAACAACATACCTAGATATTTCGTAATATTATATAATGTCACTGTCATCGAAAACAACCGAAAACACATTGGATTTTTTATCCGGTTTGAGGCACATGCAACACGTGTAGAGCAACACAAGCACGATGTCGAAAATATAGCAACCACTTTCACTCGACGTACATGCACCATACAACCAGTTCACTGTACATACAGATATACGTATCACTGTTAGAGCGTACAGAAAAGCAAAAGTGAAATACTTTCCCTTTCGGTTCAGTACGAAATACGACAAGCACCGCCGTTCAGTTGACAATTTATTTTCGCCGGACAAAACGACGCAGCAGTTTCACCGGCTCTATCGATAATTCCATTTACCGGCATTTACGCTCTATCGGTAATCACGTGACCGCAAATGGTGTCTCCCGCTTAAATTCCATTAGAAAAAACTTGAGATGTACAGTTTATTATACTAATTTAACAAACTCACTCTTGACGTCGGTATAGCGTGTCTCTAACATTAATCACATTTTTACGCAATACCACAAATTAAAAACGGAAATAATATTGAAAAAAAAATCTAACGCAAAGATACCAAGAATTAAGATGCAATTGTCAGGCGATAAAAAAATTTGAAATATGAATATTAGAAAAATTGTAGTTCACATTGAAATGAAATTTTAACGGAGAATGTACTATTACATATTTCACCATTTCGATGTCAAGGTCTTCTAGGTGCTCTACATGCATCGTTTTTACACATATACACACGTCTAGCATTGCACAGCCTGGAGAAGGAGCGAGCGAAAGGTAGGAGGCTTACCTTTCTCCAAAGATGTACTACACTTGGAGACCTGCTTCTTTCATTCCCTAGTAATACACGCAACTAGCACGATCAAGAAACGTAGAACGTAATAATCTTCTTCTTCGTTTTTTCTTCATTCCAAGAAATCGTCTGACAATATAATTGGTATGTTTGCAATTCTTCTGCAGGGTTAATATAAACTTAGAGCGAGTGACTTCGTTATCATAGCTATAGCAAGTTGTGAAACGCTCGTCGGTTCATAGTGCAGTGCACCCGAAGATATAAATGCATTTCAAGTGAAAGAAATTGATCCGGTTGGACGAAAATGGAGAAAAAACTAGCGGATATGGATAACTCGATGAAACAGACAAATTTGGCAGGTCAGTGTCTTCTTTTTTTTAAGGAAGTTCAGTGCACCGGACGATACACGAATTTTCCTCAATAGGGGCCAAACACAATCGTCCTTGTGCCAAGTGTTTTTTTGCTTTTATTACCGTACGATAATATAGTTTACTCCAAGAAGCGTGTTCTACTTAAGTGAAAACAAGAATATCGCTACGAACTGCGATTCGTTTCTTCGGGGAAACACGACAGTCAGGATTTTGTGAATTCTTTTGTATAAATAAAGCGTGAACATGTGAACGTTCCTTGAGTTGGCAAAAAATTGCTCGATTCCAATAAGAATTTTTTTTCCTTTTCTATAATTAATATTCGATTTAAGAGTGCAAATCTTTCGATATGAAAATAAAATTGTGCAACGTAATTAAAACAGAAAATCTACAAAATGGCAAAAAAAAAAAAAAAAAAAAAAGAAAAACTAAATAGATTTTTTATTCTTTTTTTCTGTGTAATATTTGCAGGTGTTGATCCACGAAATAGCGTGGATCAATTTTATCTTCAGGATTTATCTGACGTATATCGTCGGTTTCACGGTTTCTCGCATAGGAGCCGCGCGGAATTTTTAGTACGAACTTCATTGACACCATTCCGATAAATTAACGAGCGGGAGATACGGAAACCGACACCGGATATTCAATTCAAACAAGTCGTTAAAGTACATCCTTTCTTTTCATCAAACGATGGTTTCGCGTATTTTCGGTGAAGGGGGTACGCGTTGCGAACAAAGGAGAGAAAAATTCGTCAAGCATCACTGCCACTTCCAACTCTGTGAAGGACGTTTGCAGGAAGGTTTCACAATACCTACATAGAAATGTCATTTTGCAAATGTTTCACGCTAAGACTAATAATAAGATTCGTTCAGCGATTAATTCGTGAATTTTTTAATTCACTTAAAAATGTTGATTTTTTAAATTAGATAAAAGTTAGAAAATTAAATCACCGAGAAACTTAATGTATTACTGTTAAATTTCAAAAGAAACAGTCGTTTCCTTCAGTTCCCACATTCGTTTCATTTTTAAACAGAGAACAGGTTGACAAAAAATCTCATTTTGCAAATATTGGAGTTACCAATAGGATTCATTCAGCGATTACTCCTGAATTTTTAAATTAATTTAATACTGACGATTTTTTAAATTAAATAGACATTAAAAAACGAAGAAACATATATTACTGTTAAATTTGAAAAAAAAAAAGAAATAGTCGTTTCCTTCAGTTACTTTGGTTTCGACACTTTGGTTTCATTTTTAAACAGAGAACAGGTTGACAAAATTTGTACAAAAATCTGCGAGAGGCGCCTTGCATAATTCTCACATTTGCATCATCATTATAATCGGCTGGTTAACTCACACACACACACGCATTTGACACAAATTACCTGGTGTTCGTTAAACATCACTTAGCACTGCCTATTTTTTTTTTCACTTCTTCGCGGATTGCACGTGGAAGTTCTAAACATGCGGCCAGTTAACGAAAGTGCGAATAGAAACGGTGCGACCTCGATTTCCTTCCCATAATTATCTATCCTCGAATGCAACGCGTGTGCATCTTCGAGGTGATCGTTGAATTATAATTCTTACGTGTTGCTATCGTTCCACAAATAAATGAAAAATCGAAAGAGAAGAGGAAGAAGAAGAACCGAGGGTTGTATCGAAATAGAAATAGGTGAAAGTGATTTTTTACGTAACGAAATTGATGTCATAATATCGATGATCTAACTCTCTGCTGTACTTGCGTAAAGAATAAATTAAGAATTAATGTTTTTTGGGGGGGAGGGGGGGGGGGGCAGGTTTCAATTAAATCGATGTTAAATGTAAATTTTGAAATAGACGTTAAAGTATGAATGAATAACAGCGATTAGAAAATAGAAATGATCTCAGTTTATTCTGTACGAATAAGATAAAAGTACTACGAAGATTCGATTAAACTGAATGGCATTTTGAAGTCTGAACAAGTTGTGAAGTATAGACTGTGATGATTCTTGCAATGTTTCGCAATCTCCTATAATAGCTCCTTTGTGAACAATGCTACGTAGAAACAGCGTTTAAGCTAATTGATCATCCTGAAGGATATCCGCCATTGCTGTTCTGTTCACTTCGAAAGAACATAATCTTCTATGTAATTTAATATTCTTCTTCTTGAATAATTTTTGTATCATGCTTCAAAAACGATCGTTTAGAACACAATGGTACGTGTCTTAACCCTACTGCGTCCTTCGTTTTGACTGTACACTTAAGACTTTTGGGTGAAAAAGGATCTAAGACCTTATGTTCCACAATTTTTGTTTCCAACGCGACATACGAACCTAGACAATAAACGTTTAAAATAATGTCAAGGAACGTAAACTTGATAACAGTAAATATTAGTAAAAATATAAAAAGGCGGTGGGTCAAAAAAGACCCGAAGACCGCTCTAGGGTTAAGAAAAAATAAGACTTTTAAATGTTCAAACCGGAAAGTATTTTAATGAAAATTCAAGGAAATCCTGTGGATCGGAAAATAAAAAAAAATTGGGAGAAAATTGTGGAACTAGAAAGAAGGAGCTTGCGTCTTTTTTTTTTTTTTAAATCAAATTTGAAGGTTTGTTGGTTTAAATGATAAAGCTCGACAGGAATTGGTGGGATGATTTGATAGAATGTTTCTTTAAATGGAACGATTTAAGATCGCGTGAAATTCCGAGGATGATCTAATATCTTTTTATCAGTACAGTGGCGAGCTCGATGAATAAACCAGGCCTAAATCAAATTCGATTACCACCGATTATGGGCATCTGTCGATTTTCTTATTCATGTCGCGTCCACTGCACAGATGTACCCACTTTCGATGGCTCTGAATACCAAATGAATTTCGCCGTATCGAATCGTAAGATCACCCACACGCTGTGCGTCCTCCGTGTATGGTCTTGTTTTACAAATCCCTCGAATCGTTACTAGTTCTGTAGAACAGTGTTACAATTGCAGGACAACTTAATTTTTCACCTAGTTTTGTAGGAATAGATTGTGATACGCAGAGTAACTCTGATTTTTTTTATCTAATGTGAATCGATCCATGGATCACGCGGAACGTAGCGTGATCGTTGCAAGGAATATGGATGAAAAGTATAAAACGAAATGGAGGAAAACAGAAATGTGGAAAAGTGGGAAAATGAGAACGTAAGAAAATTGAAAACTTTAAATGGTAGGAAAGTGAACAGCGGGAACATAAAAATGTAAAATGGCGGGAAAGCGAAACAGTAAGAAGATAAAATGTAAGAAAGGGGGAAAGTGAAAAAAAATAGGAAAATAAAAATAGCAGGAAAGTAGAAAAATAAGAAAATACAAAAGTAAAAGTGGGGGAAAGTAAAAAAAAATTGGAAAGTAAAAGTGTAAAATAGTAGGAAAGTAAAAACGTAAGAAAATAAAAATCTAAAACTGTAGGAAAGTAGAAAAGTAAGAAAATGAAAAGGGAAAGGAGTAAGGAAAGAAAACGTTAGAAAATTTGAAAAGTGAGAAAACAGAAAAAGTAGAGAAATGTAAAAAGATAAGAACTTGATGTAAAACGCAATAAAATTATTATCTCCCCATTTAGATGTCGTGGAAGGGAAGATGCAATCTCTCCTGAATGACGGAGCAAAGACTCACATGGAGTTGGAATGGTTGAAGCCCGAATTGCCACCTTTCTTCAATGAAAAAAAGTTTCTCTGCGGCCAGCAGATGTTCTCTAACAACGTTTTCACCATGATGGTTGCAAAATTGTGCGGATTAATTTCTTTATTCGCTATACCATCAATCAAGGACGTTTTAATTTTCACCAGACAGAGTGGTGCACCGTGTGTCGCGTTTCGTAGATACGTTTCTACTATTCTGCACACTTGGATCTGGTACGGGAAGAAACCTGGTATAGAAAACGAGTAAGTAAAAATACCAAACGTACTACTCATCGTTCTATCCATAAATTAGATAAATTTCTTTTCACCGATGTGAAGCAATTTATCTGTATAAAATAATTCGAGAAAATTGCGTACAATTTTTTATCATGAAATATGATTTATTGGACAGAGATAGTAAATTTTCCTAATTGAAAGTCGTTTTGATCGTTTTTATCGTTTATTATGTTATTAGTGTTATTCTTCTTTTATCGTCGTTATCATTATTGTTTGTTGAATGTAAGTTAAAATTGAATTTAAAATTGTCACTGTTCCCCTTATTTTCTCTTTCAGCATTCTGCATTTTCTTACACTTTATACATTTTTCTTTCCTTTTAATCACGTTCTCTTCGGAAATATTTGAATTTGAATTGAACTTTAGTCGATTAATTACAATCATTGATACTTCCACTTAGAAATATTTGATCT